CCCACGTATCCAACCTCTGCACCCGACCACAATCACCATCCAACCGTTCTCACCACCACAACTCTATATCTCTTACGTTCTCCCCCCCCCCGCCACCATCTCAAGCTAATGATACGACTGTATTGCTCCTCCTACTCTCACGCTCGTATCTCATCGGGCCGCTTTTACAAGAAGACTGCCTGCATGAGCACGGCGTAAGAACTGATGTTCGTGGGAACATGTACGCGTGCATTACCGCCGGCTTCTAGCATGAGAACCGCCACTGTACGCCGGCTCAACCCGCCCGCCCGCCCGCCCGAATTCGTTGGCGGCGTTTTTACTGGAGTAAAAGTCAGCAGCAGCAGTCACGGCAACAATTAGAGAAGCCCATTAGTTTGCATCGCCGAGCCGCCTCAAATATGCATGAGGTCAGATAATGACCCGCGAGAAGCGAGCATTCATTATCATCAGTCTATCCCTGACTTTTTCCCCTTCCCCTCCGCCGTCGTACAGCAAGCAAGCTGGTTAATAAACAACTGTACTGGCGGCATCTGAAGCGATCTACACAGTGCCGTGAAGACTGTGGGAATTTTCAAGTCTAGTCCAGCGCGCCGCTTCCCAACACAATGCGATATAATAAATCGTTATGCGAAGCCGTCTGCCAACTTTCTGGCTTGCCGACGGGACAGCCTACTATAGGCTACTGTATAAGAAATATGCAAGAGCACATTTTCCAAACGGTGATCGCATTCTAGGTGTGAGGAACCTGGCAACCGCCTGCTGACCTGGCTAGCAAATATATATATATAGCTACAAATTACAGTGCACAATAGATGGTAAAAAAAGGAACCAACGAAGGAGAAACAAATTAATAACACCAACAAAGCAAGAAAACCTTCCCCCAAAGTAGCTTAGGTGCCAAGCGCTGATCGGTGTGCCTGAAGCTAAGTGGCACATCGGTCATCCTGCTGCTACTGCTGCTGCTCTTCATCTGACGGCTACGCCCCACCCCACCCTACGCGTACACCGCCGCGAGTCCGCGCTCGCTGTGTGACAGTTGACAATTACGGACTTATTCCGCACGTTTACTGCGGTATTTGATCATTTTCGAAAACGACGCCAGCTAAGTGTGGCTTATTATTAGATGTGTCGGTTTCGCGCGGCGCGCGTGACACATGGCATGCGCGCTACGCTGGGGCTAGCAACTATCGGCGTCGAAAACGAACCAAACGCGGCATTCCTAACACATGGCGCCAGCGAGTTGCGAGCATCCGGAGTTAGCAACACCCCGCACTCACGAAAGAGAGCCAGCGTTATTTATGTTTGCGACATATATGAACTAATAAGCCGCGTACGTAGCAAAACTACGACGGAGACGGACTACGTCCTATGGTCACGAATGGCGAGCTCAGTTCATTGATTTAAGTGATTATCTTTCATGTTTTTTTCCAGTGGTTGCGATACGGGTATTGCTTCATAAACAGCAAGTGTCCAAAGTAAGGCTAACATGTCTCAAAATTTGCGCACATCATATCATCAACCAACGTAGGCAAGAATTAGAATTTAGGGCTTACTTCTAATTTCGTGTCACGTGATTCTCGCATCTCGCATCTCGCAAATTCCTGGTACCTTATCCAATAAAATTTCAGTATCTGTGTTACTTTCGTATATTTGTAGAGAAATGGTACCAACTTAGACCCGCTGATGTCACAGTATAAGATTACCTTTGTAATTTACAAATATGATTTGCGATTTACAAATTCATTGACCGGACAATAAAAATGTCGCCGCCTACGTTATTGCGTTATGTTTAATTCCTACTTCATATACTATATGTTATAACGGCATAAATTCTTGGCAATTTTCGAGTTAGTGAATTTTGTAGGATAGCTACTAATATAGGTACCAATATATATTACCACAGATTTCTTTTATGTATTTGATATTACTTTAATATTTACGAACGCGATCTGCGAACCGAGCGACCACGTATACGAACAACAACCGCAAGCATCCTCTACCGATCGCACGCTCCCGAGCAATCAAGTTACGAACGAAATCTCGAGAGCTGACATAACTCAGGGAGTGACGGTAGGTTGTCACTGTATCACCAATCGTCAAGTCAGTGTATCGAACAAGCCAGAGTTGGGCTCCGCAGTAGGTGCATACAGTATCGCTTACGTTTGCTGTAGCGATCGGCCAACATGCAAATCGGTTTCCGAGAACAAAATTGTTTACACGGCCATTCTAGTTGTGTGTTCTCTTCTGGTGTTGGGGATAGGAGGAGCGAGCGCGAGAGAAAGAGAGAGGGAGAAGGAAAGGCAGAGACGCCTAAAAGCAAATATATACACATTCGTTACTACTAAGAGTCGGCAGCACTGGCTCTCCCTGGCTTCCCCCTTCCCTCTCTCATCCTTCTCCCGCCCCTATCCTTCCTTTTCTCCTCTTTCTCTCTCTGCCCTTCTCCCGCAGGCATTGCGAAAGTATTGCTGTCAAGACAAGCGTTAACCTCCTAGCTTAGCAGCGTGTAAGTTTTATATGCGACAGCTTACAACTGATAGCATCCAGAACGGCAGTTATCGGCAGACGCAGATGCGTTCTCTCGTGGTGATTGTGTTTTCTTTAGAACAAGCAAACTGCATCCTCTCCCTTTCTCTCTCTCTCTCTCTCTCTCTCGCTCTCTCTCTCTCTCTCTCTTCTCTGTCGTCCTTCTCACGCGCTCTCTCACTCTCTCGCACGGTCTCTGCCTCTCTCCATCTGTTGCGCTTCCTTTCACCTTCCATATCCTCTCCCCTCTCTGTTTCTCTAGTTCTCGCGCTCGCACCCTCTCTGGTTTTCTCTTCATCTCTTGTTCTCTTCCACCACCGTTTTGTCACCCTTTCTCTTCCACCCCTTTCTCGCCCTCTCTCTTTCATTGACTCCTATCTTGCTCTCTCCCTTCTGCATTCCCCTTCTCTCTCTTCTCCTCTCTTTCTCTCTCTTTCTCCCTTCTCGCCCCCATCTCTCTCCGCGCGCTAGTCTTAAACGGCGGTGAGTAAGTTTCTGTGTCAGCATTATGCCATTAGCACGCCACACTCTAGGTGAAAATCACATTAGCGCTGGGCTGCATGCGCGGCGGCGGCGGTGACGTCGGCGGCGGCGGCGGCAGTAGCGCAGAGTCACGACAGGGCACCCCACCGACCATTAGGCACGCTGCAACGACGCTGCGGTTTAGCGTGCAGCGCGACAGATGACATCTAGAGCCGATGAAAGCACTAGCTGATGAAACCTAGAACAATGATGAAGCTACTGGCTGATGAAACCTAGAGCGGACGTACTATAGCTGATGTAGACTATAGCTAATGTAGACTATAGCTGATGTAAACTATAGCTGATGTAGACTATAGCTGATGTAGACTATATTCCGCAGCGTGTATCCGATGAAGAA